GTTTAGGGGTTTAGGGGGTTGGGGTTGCCTTATCGTCACTATATATGTGTATGGTTGCTTTTTTACCATAGTGTACTTCATTACCCTGGCAAAATGGTTCAGGCCCTCATATCACCATTGCAGGCTGCATACGTTAGAGCTGCTGACTTCAGGAGCTAAGCGCCAGGAGCTCTAAGCATCCCGCCATACCTTTGGAGCACAGGGTTTAGGGTTTAGCTGCTTGCAGGTTTACCCAGAGTATGCGGTCATCTATCGGCGGCAGTATGAAGCGAGCAAGGTTCCAAAGCACCTTGTCTATATCTTCTGCAAACTGTTCTGAAACAGTCATCTGCACTGGTGATCCTGATCGTTATCAACTCTCCGTCAGTGACGGTGCTGATGAGGTTTGTGGCGATGGTGATAGTGATGATGAGACGAGCAGCCGAGCAGAAAAGGACCGGGAACCAGCAGAAGAAACATAGAGCAAAGAACCCCACCAAGAATCGCAGCAGCAAACAAGAAAAGGAAGAAAGATAACAGTAAGTGCTTCCGCGAACCCCGCAACCACCACCACCACCCACCACCACCACCACGACCATCACCTTCTTCATCCGCACCTGCACCATCAGAGTGCTCCCTGTCCGCGCCGCCACCTCTACCACAAGCATCATCATTTCACCGTCATCATCATCATCATCAGCAGCAGTATGGCAATCATTATCACCATGACCATCGTCAACTTCGCCGCCACTGCCATCGTTACCTCAGCCTCATCTGAACCTCTAGATTCTCTAGATGCATGACCCTCCGATTTGGATTGGTCCCAGACACGTCGATTACATGATAAGCCGAAGCCGGCACAGAAGGAGCACTTGAGGGCCCGAGCGAATGTTTGGTGCCTTTGAAGGGAGTCTGGGGGAAAAAACTCTGCCTTTTGCTGAGGCTGATGCGCAAGACTACAAGTGGAACGACTGGCCGCAATTGGCAGGTTCAGTTGGACAAAGGCCAGCTTGCTCAAAACCACTGAGACAGTAGCGGTGGGGTTTTAGGGTCTAGTGCTTTGAGTTTAGGGTGTGCGATCTTTCTTGCATGCTCTGGCCGTAAACCTCTGAGAAGAGCACATTCGGAGATTGATGCAGGCTGGCTCCCAGCCAGCCCCGCATCGCCCAACTACAGTAAGCTCAGATTTCAAGCAGGATCTGCCTCCTGATTGTTTCTTACTTGGTTTAGGGCTTTTGGGATGTAGGGCCTCCAGGCTTACCGGCCTCAGGAACAGCCGCGCGTAGGGTTCAGCGAGATTTGGGTTTATGTTTCAAGGTTTCTCGGGCGGTTTTTTCAGATTTCTCGGAGCCGCCTAGAATCTAGGCTTGCCCAAATCGTACCCAGGCCCTTCCCATCCAGAAAGCTCATGTAGATCCTCGATTATTCGCAGTATTCGTTAGTCCTGGTCCTGATTCTGAGACCCCTCACGCGAGGGTGTTTGTCAGTAGGGGGTCCACATTTAATCCTACACACTCTTGCAGAGTCTGCTTGAGTCACCCTGAGCCAAGCCAAGCCGAAGCCGTCGTCTGCTTGAAGAGCCCTGAGGATGGAGGGACATTCCTCCAGATGTGAGTGCCCTGGCGTTCAATTAAGGACGGCTTTTGGGCCCTTCAATCAATATATATATATATATGATATATCATATATGATATATATATATATACATACCCTTCAAACCCACGATTAAGGTTCTTCAGGCGTGTCGCTGGATTGGAAGGAGGCAATCCCTGAACCCTCCGCTTCCAACCCTGCACCACAATTCTATGAATTGCAAAGGAGCTCTCCACGGAGCCCAATAAACTTGAAATGACAAAGATATACCTTCAATGATATATATATATATATATATATACATACATACATACATACATACATACATACATACATATATATATATATATATATGATATAGTGTGTGTGTATATATATATATACATAGTGCTTGGTCAAGCATTGTTCAGCCCTCAAAGGTCCAGAGGAACTCTACGAGGTGCTCAGGGTTTTAGACTGGCGTCGGAAGCCCCGTGCTCTGATGTCACTTCGCCTGAAGCTTCTGCACTTGCGCACCATCTGAATCAATCCGAAGGGTTTAGGGTTTAGGGTTCCCTCCGTCTAAAACCATGAACAGTACTTAATTAAATTACTCACACTTGCGCGTGCATGCATACATGCACACACGCCTGACAAACACACATACGACACATATAGTGCATGTATGTATATACTGTATACAGACATACACATATGTAAACGAAAATGCTCACTGTCTCAAACCACAAACATCTGCGGCTCGAAGACGACCTCGCTTTCCAGACCCGGACAAAGCCCCCGTCCGTCCTCGCGAGAAGGGGTAAAACCCAATTGCAAGCATAGGGTTAAGGGGATTACATAAGACTTCGGGGTTTCGGGGTGTGGGGCTTTAGCGCTTGGGGGTTTGGGGCTTGAGGGTTTGATGGTTTACGGATTCAAGGATTTAGAGTTGGGGCTTCAGGGCTTGAGTGGCTTGCGGGAACCCTCATAGTACATTCTAAAACCTGCATCAACTTGTTAAGACCCCTTTCTTCTCCTAAACCCCAGCGCTCTTCCCAAACATCCTTGAAGCCCAAACCCCCCAAATCTAAATCACTAGACGTCTTGAGCCCTAAACTTCAACGACATCTCCCCTAAACCCGAAGCCCCGTGAGCCTTTAGCTTCCCCGAATCCCAAGTCTACATCCTAAACCCCTTGAGCCTTTAATTTATTTAAACCCCAAATCTACGTCAATCCCTAATCCCACAAGCTTCTAACCCTCTGAACCTATAAATCGTAAACCCCAAACATCTTTCCGAGGTTCTGCGCTGAATCGCGCCGAGGTCGATGGCGTGCGGCAGCTGGAGAGTGTGATCGGCGAGTACACGCAGCCGGGCTCAGGGGCTTAGAAGTTTCAGGGTTTAGGGTTCAGGGTTTGGGGGTTTCGGGTTTAGGGTTTGGGGGTTTAGGGTTCAGGGTTTGGGGTTTTGGGTTTAGGGCTTGGTTTATTTAGGGTTTGGGGGTTTAGGGTTTCGGGTGCTATGAGGGTTGTCCCACAAGGTTTTAAGGGTTTTAAAAGCGGCTTAGGGTTTGCGGGTTTGGGGCTATAGGTTTGAGGTTGAGGGGCTTCGGCGCTAGAGGTCAAGGGTTTCAGGGTTCAGGGCGGAAAGAGTAGAGGGTTTCAAGTTCAGGGTGGGGGCTTATAGGTACCTTAGTTGGGGTTCTAAGTAGATACTATAGACACCTTGCTGAGAGCCCTACTCACTAAGTGCGCTGGTTCTCTAAGTAAGTAAGGATAGCAAAGCTCGGACCTTAAGATAGCTAGCAATGTGTCACTCATCAGGGTGATTCATATATCAGAATCGCATTATACAGGTACCAGGTACCATAAAGGTACCAGTCGGATATGAGTCATGTCCCTGATTAGGATACTACTGAAGAGTTTTAGAGTAGTATGTCCATTACGCCTGTGACCCCACGATCCTCAGACCCTGAACCCTACCACTTCAAAATTACCTTGATTCCCAAACCCTGAACTCCCCTTAGGCCTGAAGCCTAAACCCTAGAGTTCTTAACGCCAACCTAGGCGGACGGAAAAGGGCCCTCCAAAACAAACGCCGAACCCTTCACCCTAAGACCCTGAGACCAGGTACACCTTCGACCTTAAACCCTAAACCCTAAACCCTGAACCCTAAACCCTAAGACACCCTAAACCCTAAGACCCTAAGACCCTGAGACCAGGTACACCTTCGACCTTGAGAAGAAGCTCCAGCTCAACAAGCACAGCGGGACCAGTCGAAGGATCCGCCCTCCCATGCGCCGCTGAGAGGGGCGAACAATCCTTGCCAAGGACCTTCATAAATAGGGGTTTAGGGTTTAGGGTTCATGATGAGCTCGTTGCAGAGGGTCTAGAAGGGTATATGTGATTGAGGAAAGGCCTTGCGTTGGCGAGTATAGGGTTTCAAGGGTTGCAGGTGGTACGGCTTTAGTCGAAAATTGTCATTGCTTAACGTGTAGTGAGACGTGCATGCAAGATGTGTCTTTGTCTTGGTTGGTGGAATGTTTCACGCAGTGTCGCATGATTGTTTGGTCTCATGCATGGCTGCTAATTCCATTGAGGATGAAGGTTGTACGTTTTGGCCTGGCTACTACAGGGGCCCAAATAATATATCTATACTATTTTGGGGTTCCTTACTACAATCATAGTATAGTATACCCCAAAACCCCATTCTAGCACCGACAGTAGATGCTAGCTATGCAGGGTGAACTCCTTCGTGCAGAAGGTCCGAGGGGGATTGCGCACTGAAAATGCAACACGTGCTCAGCTGCTCTAAATGCCGAAGATTCTGAGCAGGGTTTGAGGTTTCAGGATTCCTCTGTAGAGGTTTTGTGTTTTTCCGACTCTGGGGTAAGTTTAAGAACTAGTGGCACAAGGTGCCTACCACAGTTCTCGTATGACTGTTGGTAGCACACTCTTGACAAGCAAGGACCTAAGCGCCACCAGCAACATAAATGCTCCCGACTTAGAGGCGAAAAAGAGAGCAGTGGAATGGGATGGGAAGGATGACCGGTGGAAAGTCGTCGGTTTGCTTTCTTCGCCTTTCCCGACGCCCTACCCGTCGAGCAATCGTCAAAGGAGGCCATTTTGAAAGCGGGCTCTAGCATTTCTATCATAAGGCACTCAGCCCCAGGCCCCAAACCAAACACCCTAGACCGAAACCCCAAGCCCTAAACCCTGAACCATAGACCCTAAACCGGTTTTATGTGTAAAGAGCTCCCTCCTTGGTCTTCTTAGCTTCAGGCCTCGTCTCGGAGACCTCGTCTTTAATCATTTTCCACAGAGAAAAGGGGGCGCCGTGGGGTTTTAGGACTGGACATCTGATCAGTGGTGTTGACGTTACATAGGGGCCTTAATAGTTACCTATATATTTTTTTTATGGAGCTCCTTATCATAATTATAGTATAATGGGCCCCAAAACCCTATTCTGATTATTAAGGCCCCTACATTTTGGGCTTTGGCCTGTGGGTGCCCTGCCTTCTCGCCCTCGCCAACGCACGCCTGCAGAATTGTGCTAAGCCGCGACGCGGGTGTGCAGACGTGCCGGCCATCCTCCAAGAGGGAGCCTGCACACTGTTTTAGGTTAGTTGTCAGCATGTCCCCAGTTCTCGCACCACGTTGGGAGATTGGATTTAAGTTGCTGCGCACCTTTGCCCATTGAAAATCACAGCTGAGCGAAGAGCACCCATGCAAACGGTTCCTTAATATATTCTCCTTGTCCGGACCCCAAAGCCCTATTCTAATTATTGAGGCCCCTAGATTATCTCAGAAGCCGCAACTGAAGCCTCTGTCAGGTGATAGTCGCGCTGTCCGTCTTCATCTGAGGGTTTAGGGTTTAGGGTTTTGGGTTCTCTATCTGCCGGTTTAGGGTTTAGGGTTACGGGTTGTGGGTCTGCATTGTCTGCCTCAGTTTTTCGTATCTTTCGGGCAGCGCCTGTAGGGCTTCTGGGATAATAGAGGGGCCTTAATGATTAGAATAGGGCTTTGGGGTCCCTTATGCCACCAAAATAATATAGGTAGTTAGATTTGGGCTCCTATATTAGAACGGGAGAGTGGCGCAGACTCCACGGCAAAAGAGCTCAGCGTTGCTGCTGCTTGCCATGCGTCTCCGTTCTGAAGAAGAGTTTCCGTAGCCCAACCCTGAACCCAAATAACCTAGCTATCCAGAGTTCTTTGTTATGATTTCCTCAGAATTAGAATATAGGTCCTTACAGAGGAGGTTATTTGGGGTTCAGGTACACCCTTGAACCCCTGGCAACTGCTCGAAGGACAGGACTGCTTTGAAGTGCGATGCCGAGGGAAATCCATGTCGGGGGCCCAGACTTACGATCAAATACCCACTTAATGCCATATAAATATATGTATATCTATATGCGTGTATATACATATATATATATATATATGTGTGTATATATGCAGATGTTTGTCTTTATGTGTGTTTATGTGTGTATCTATATATATATATATACATATATTTTATTTATTTATTTATTTATGTATTTATTTCTTTATGTTCAATCCAGGTGGTTCAAGAAACCCTGCATCCGCCCAGATCCCTACACTGAGAATCAGCGTAGCCGGCATTTGGGAGTGCTTGCCCATCTGAGCCGGGGTTTAGGGTTTAGGGTTTAGGGTTTAGGGTTTAGGGTTTAGGGTAGCCTGGATTGCAGAAGGTCCCGCACTCTACCGACCTCCAGAGCGACGAAAACCAGCACCACCGTGGAGTCCTTGAGACTCTCAACCCGAGACAGAAACGGCAACCTAAGTCACAAGAGCTTTCAAAGGGTGAAGCCGGCAGTCTGCTTCGAAGAGCGTTTCTGACCCCAAATCCTCAACAGAACCCCTATACCCCTCTCCAAACATCAAAAACAACCCTTGCAATCACTAAATTTCACTAAATCGTCCCAAAAAGGCTTCTGAGAACCTCTACAAGAATCCCTTGTAGAACCTCGATTCCCCTACGTGTTAAGTTCCGGACTTGGCCCTGCTGGAATCTAGAGACCGGAATTAACTCAAACATCATTCCTTATCCCTTTTTCTACCCCAAAGCCCTGTTCTAATCATTAAGGCCCTTAGATTTATCATCGGAAGCTCCATCTTAGAGACGTCTGTCTGAACCCCATGCATATCGTTTTGCATTGCCCACTCTAGCATGGCAAAGAATACCCAGTCAAGGACTCAGGAGAGGCTTTCGGGGTTTATTGTCCTCCTTTTCAGGGCTTAGGGTTTAGGGGTTTTCGGCTCGGTGATGCTCAATCAGCAGAGGCCCTTTGAAAGCCGAAGTTTAGGGGCCCAGGGTCTTGAGAACTCGAAGCTCGTTGCTTTAAAAATATATGGTGTCTGCCGATTGAACGCGCAACACCAAGCCGGAGAGGGTTAAGGGTGTAGGGAAGTTTTAGGGGTTTGGGGATATGAAGGATCCTGCTTCTTGCAAATTTTAGTCTATGTCGTCTACGCTACACTCCCGTATGTTCCTCGGCCATGTTGGCTTCAGGGCTTTGAGGCTTCGAGGTCGAAGGAAGCAGTCAGAAGAACGAGACAACGGCTCAACCCCAGGCCTTGAAGCAAAAGGCCCCAAGAGAACTCCTCCAGTAGGTACGAGAGCTTGGACAACAGCATGCTACCTTTTTTCATGGTTTTTCTCTACAGTCCCAGGCTTCTAAACCCGAAAGCATCGAAAAGCCCCAAACCCGTCCGTGAAGCCAAAGCTTGAGATAAAGTCCCCGACAAGGCGTCCGCTTCGAGGGTCACGAGGGGCCGCACTCCAAGCAAAGGCAGCTTTCGGACCTCAGGCTTTAACAGTAATAGTAATGATAGTAATGGTCGTACTAATAGTTACTATCATAATATTATTAATAGTAATAAAAATGATGATAACAGAAATAACAAGAATAATATTAATAATAATAGTAATAGTAGTAATAATAGTCACAATAACAAAAATTACAATAATAATAATGATCTTGCTGGTCCTTAACCCTATACCCCTAAACCCGAAAGCTCCGAAGCCTGAAGCTCTGAAACCAGGCCCTTAAAGGAGCCCTTAGGGTTTAGGGTTTAGGATTTAGGGTTTAGGGTTTAGGGTTTAGGAGCCGGAAGCTCTTCCTGTACTTGTGCTCGTGAGCTTCCGGAGTCCATATGGGTAGTTCTCTAAATTAGGGTCCATTTTGGGGTCCCTTTTATAAGGGTGCCGTACTATAATGGGGACCCAAAACGGGACCCTAATTTAGAGAACTACCCATATGGTGGTAGCCCAAGACCAGGTTTTGGACTCCTGGCCCCAAAGCTACGATGCAATGAGACCCTATAAACCCTAAACCCCCAAACCCTAAGCCCCACATCGACTCCTGCGATCTGTTTACAGCGAGTTATGCTTATGTACACCTTCTCTGAGAATACAGATGTCTTCCTTTGTTTCGCTCTTCCTCGAGAGGCTTTCGCCCGCATCACCCCAAACATAGTTTCCTGTTATTGAGGCCCTGATAGTGGGGTATGCAAGGGGTACTTGGGGGCCTTGACCATGAAATTTAATCCAGGGGCTTGCCGCTGTTGTTACTCAAGATGTTGGTGGTTTGCCGTTCGGGGTGCCCTAAACCCCCAAACCCTAAACCCTCTTTGAGAACTTTTTCTTTGTGGCTTGGGGTTTGCGGCATTGGAGGGCTCTTCTCTGGATTTTAAGGGCTCTTCTCTGGGGTCCAAGAAAGCAGGGACGTGAGGACTTGGTAAGTTCCGTGGCTGAGGCCCGTATGCTCTATCGTGGAGATCGCGGCCAAGGCTTCGGGGGCGACATGGGCCTGTGGTCATGCTGCAAATTTATTGCTGCTATTGCTGCCGTGTGGGAGTTCACCTGCTGGTGGCAGAGGTGATGCAATGATGTCGATGCTGTAGATGGTGACGTAGGTCTTGGGCTTTAGTAGTCGTCGTCGTCGCAGTCGTAGTGGCAGCAGCAGCAGAAGCAGCAGGATTGGACACCTTGACCTTGACCTCCCATGGCGCCATCGTCGAAATGGAAGCAGTTGTACCCAGCGGAGGAGGAGGAGGATCAGGAGGAGTGCACACCTATACACATGTCAGGGTATACACCTGCACTCGTTCATGCACTAGTACATGCATGCACACATGCATGCGTACATACGCGCACATGTAAAATGTATAGTATGCACATGTGCATGCGCATCCATATACGTGTACACATACAGGCCTGCATACGTACACACAGAAATACATGCTTGCACAAGTAATTACGTACATATTGAATATGTGCATGACAACGTACCCACCTACCCACCGACCTCCTATCTCTGTACCTACATACATACACACAGGCATACGCTCATATGTCCGCGTACCTACGCACATAAATACATTTGTCACTACATACATACATAATCTTATGCACATGCTTACATACACTTACATACAACTTCAATAAACATACCAGTTTTACATATATACATGTACAGATACAGATGCAAACACACGCACACATGCCTGCGTGCATGACGCCTGCAGCTGCATGCCCAGTTTTACCCACCTACCTGCCTGTTTAACTAACTAACTTTTCTGTTCCAACCTTCTACCTACATGCCACCTCCCCACATGCATACGTACTTACACACATGCCATCGCCGTCTCCATCATCAACAAGAACATGTTGTATTACTAGTTGTGTTCGTTTGTTGGCATGCAATCTGGGCTTTTGGTCGTCAATGGAAGCGGAACCACAAGCGTGCACTTGCACAGTGTCCTGACGATCCATGTGCTTGCAGTTTTGGCGGTGTTCACCATTCTCAGCGGCCAGTTGAGAAGCCTCCCAGTGACCCCAATGAAGTACATGGTAGCGTACTGAGACATGCCCCTCCGCTCTCGTCTCCTCGCCGCCCCTGCCCCCGACTCATCTTGGCTCGGCAAGGTGGTTAGTGGAGCCTGGGACGGGAAAGCCAAGGCTCTGGATGGGAATCTGGGATCACTGACGACGGCTTTACTGGGTGCTGAGCGATTTGCGAGCAGAATACTAGGCTCAATAGCAACAGTCTGCATGAGGCGTTCGGACGTGAGGTTTGAGTGCCCCAGTGACTTGATGGGGGCCGTTGTTCTTGTTGCAACGGCATCGAAGCATGCCCGTGCCTCCTGTCGACATTGCTCTATGAAGGAAGGCCTCTATATGAATCTGTTACTCATCGCGACCGTTGTTTTGAGAAGTCGTGCATGCACTTGGCCAGCGGCAACACTGGCGCAGAGTCACAGAAGGGGGTCAAGCCAACATGTGGTGGCAGGTGTGGGATGCAAGCAACGGCACCTGCCTCCACACTTTGGATGCAGGCACGTTCTGCAAGAGTCAGATTTGCCCGGCCCATGCACTTTACCTGAACCTTCGCCCCAAACCCAACCTTCCTTTCATCGCTCGGTGAGCCCTGAAAGCCCTAATCCTTGAGGCTCTAAACTAATAGCCGAAAGGTAAACCCTACAAAAAGGATTCTGGGTTGAGTCTAAAATGCTTGGTCATCTTGCAATCGTGGTCCAAAAAAAAGATTGCCGGTCATCTTAGATTGCAAGATTGCTTGGCAATCTTGCTCAAGTAATTGTTCTAGATTCCCGGCACACAGTAGTGCTACTTTGCAAGACTTGAAAAACCCCTAAACCCTAAACTTGACTTAAAATCCAAAACCTCAAGCCTAAACCCTAAACCCTAAACCCCAATTCCTAAACCATAAACCCAAGACCCCTGCATCCCACAACAAAAGGAGCTCACGCAGTGACTGTGGCCGCTCTGCCCACGGGAGAGATTGTGACGGGCTCGCAGGACTTAGGGTGTAGGGTTTAGGGGAAGCTTATTGTTTAGGGCTTAGGGGGAGTTTACGGTATAGAGTTTAGGGGGAGTTTAGGGTTCAGGGTTTTAGGGTTCAGGGTTTAGGGTTGTTGGTTTTGGGCAGTTTACGGCTCAGGGCAGGCATTTGTGGGTACAGTTAGAGGTATTCGGCTTTCGGAGTGAAGGTCGGACACTCAATCACATGCTCAACAAAGCCCATCTTCGAGCTGGGAAGGGCTTTTGCCAGAATCTCACGAAACCTCCATCCGAGTGACAGAGTACGGCCCCAATGATGTTTGAGGCTGGTGCCATGGGCTGCCAAGCTCATTCCCGGAATCCCAAAGCCCGAGCTTCCAAACCTTCGTGCTGGTTAGGTTTAGGGTTTAGGGTTTAGGGTTTAGGGTTAGGCTTACGCGAGTAGGGCTTGTAGTTTCAAGGCTTTCGGTGACACCCTGAACCTTAATGTTTTTCCTTGGCAGGACAAGACGTTGCGCGTCTTCCGTGGAACCGAATGCGTGCACAAAATCGATGAGGCCGGAAGCCGTCAGAGCCCGGGGTCCTTTTCAGGAAGTGAGAAGAGAATTCAGCCGCCCAAAACTCGCAACCGACTTTCAGTCTCACCCAAAAAGTATGCAGTACTCACAGTTGCCCAGGCTCACGGCGACATCATCCGTTGCTGCCTCATTGAGTTAGGGTCTGGGGTTGAGGGAATTTTGGTCTAGTGGGCTGTTTGGGGTAGCTCACTGTGAGGCATCTGTTCAACGCTTCGCGGACTATAGGCTGATTGCTGTGAGATACGTGAGTTTGCTGACATCATGACATGGCCTTTTGGGACATCAGGGTGTCCAGGGCTTGACAGGCACTCTACATCCTTAAGGCTAACTCTCTCAACCCCAAGCCCAAAGCAGTGGTGTCCGAGGTCGGGGGTTGCGGTTCTTTCTAGAGAGGGAGAGGCCATGTGGACCCCTATTTGGGAGAGCCATGCTCTTCAGAAGGATTATAGAAAGCGGCTCCTAGTATCAAGGCCATTTAAGACCAGGGTCCTCGTGGTCATCCAGCAGATATAGTACGGCCCTTCTTTGAGAAGTAGTAGTACTCAGTACCGTGCTCTTCGGCTGCTTACCGAGCTTGGCTTTCACAAAACTGTCAGTACCCCTCCCCTCCGTACTACGGCTATTCCGCCACCTCTAAAGCGATTACTGCGAGCTCTACCCTCAAAACGTTGACGACTTTGATGTGGTTGGTACGCTTCTTGGCATGTCGCTGGCAGTCTGACAAGTGGAGCGTCATTAGATGTCAGAAACCCTTGAAGCGTTTTGTGCTTTCCGGACCAGGTGCCATCGCCTCCAGCACCTCGTTCATTGCCACGGCTTCTAACGACAGTGTCGTGAAGATGTGGTCCTTCGATGGCCGTGCTGGCACGATTGCAGCTACGGAGAGGCTTTCTGAGAACTGACGCGCCAAAGCATGTGCTTGCAAGAAAAGTCCGATGCGCAAACGAACGTCTGCCCATCAAACAGAACCTTAGAGTTCCATTGTTTGCCATACATGCCCCAAAAAACGAAGCTAGCGCACCGGGGCAGCCTCAACAGGTTCAGCAGTATTTT